GTCTTTCTTCATGGTGGAAAGACCTGAGCATTTGCCCAAGATTGGCCTCTACTTGTTTCCAGGGGTTTAAAGTGCCCAGTAAAATACCTTTCCTAGATTTCACCCTGAGTCAGGTAAACCTGTGAGGGAAGAAGTCCCTTCTATCCTTGAATGAGTAGCCCTCTTGCTCACAGTGGTACCACATGCCCTAGGATTGCACGTGAACACCCAGTGTGAGATCACCACCTAGAGGATGCCCACAACTTTCTGGACCATTTGAATCACCTTCTCCCACTCCAGACTGAAGAGAGCTCCAGCTCTTCATATTTCGGTGTTTTCTGTGGGTGAGGGAGTGATTTTGCAAAGAGAAGCTCAAACCTTGAGGTGCCAGAAACTAGGGCAGAGCAGCCTGGGCACCAGGTTAAGCTGGAGACCAGATGATAGGAAATGCCAGGTGGTTCAATGGGGCCGGAGGCAGAGTGGGCACCTGTGCAGGAGCAGGTGCAATTAGCAGCCTTGGGGATGCCGGTGGCAGATGTGGGAGCACAGTGCGGGGATGCTGGCGTCAGAAGCCAGTGTGGAGGTTGGGCCATGTAAAGAGCTGGCTGCCAGGATGCAGGAGGGGTCAGAGGAGCGACCAGGGCAAGCATATCTGGACAACATGGGAGGACCAGGGAGTTACTGCTGCTGCTAGAAGCCATTAGGTGAGGAGGAATTCCCAGGCCAATGGAAATCCCAAAAGATGGGCTGCTGGGAATGGCAGGCGTCAAAGGCAGCAGAACCAGGAATATGGAGGCCAGAAAGCCTGGGGGGAGGAGAGGGTACAGCCATAGACCAGAGCTCTCTCTGGATTCTGCCTGGGGACCCACCCCTCCCATCCCCTGCAAGCCAGCAGTTTGAGATTTCAAGACTGGCTTCCTTCCCCCTTGGAACCAAAGCTTCTGCAGGTAAATCCTGCACTGGCCTGGCCCAGTGCCTTCATACCTTTGATGCCCTGCCCCCAAGGTGGAGCTCTCCCAGGCCCTGGGCTCCAGCAATTCCCGCATGATGGCAGGTTGTGTTCCTCTTTGGAGGCTTGGAAATCAGATTCCTGCTTATTTTGGGCTGTTGGCAGAATCCAGTCCATGTGGTTGTGGGGCTGAGTGTCTCTGAGCTCCCTAGATGCTCCCAGGTTGCAGTGAGGGGATCTGTGAAGTCAGTTAACCATATTTGCCACATATAATGAACACTCTTTTGCCCAAATTTGTGAGGGAAAAATAAGGATGTGCATTATACATGGGTAGTACTAATTCCATATCTATATAAATGTTTTTAACTATTTTATTTATGCTTGAGTTAAAAATGTAACTCTAGAAATTAATAACAATATCCACATGCAAGGCAATACCCTGGAACATGATAATTGGTTTTGTTGAACTTACGACGAGCTTGTAACGATGAACAGTTCTTGGCCTCCTGTGATGTGTAAATATCATAAATTTGTTACCGGTACATAAAATTTCTTGTACCTTGTATCTGTTCTTAAGTTTTGTAATTTTTTGTTACATAAAATTTCTTGTACCATAATATGTTAAAAAGAATGCTAAAATTCCTTTATAATATGAAAAACAAGTACCTAAATGTAAACAAATAAAAATTTGAATTAAAAATTAAAACAAAAAGATTTTTTTCCCTGAAAGTTTGGGCAAAAAATGTGGGTGCACATTATACATGGGAGCACATTACACTTAGCAAAATATGGTACTGTTTTCATTTTGTGTAACTAAACTCTAACTTCTTGATCCTGCTGAGCCAGGACTGAGGTGGCTGTGCTGTCCTTAGCTCCTAGGGTTCCTCTCCAGTCCTAGCACAGCTGTATCCGAGAACCAGCAATGGGGCATCACATGGCCCGCTTATACTGCCATGTCAGACTCCTGTCTGCATCCTTCTCCCTGCAGCTGAGAAAGGTTCTCCCCGGCTCATGTGATTAGATTGAGCCCACCTGATATATCTCCTTGGAGAGGATTAATTACGTATGCAAAGTCCGATTGGCCATCTCTGGTAACATTCACAGGTTCTCTGTTAGGGCATGGACATCTTTGGGAGCAATTATTCTGCTACTATAATTTACCCTCTGGTACCGATTCCTATCTGTCCTGCTTGCAAAATATATTAAACCCATCCCAAGATCCCAAAAGTTCTCATTCCATTACAATACCGACAACATCCAAATCTCTTCTAAATCTCATTAGTTCGAAAGTCCCAAATTTCATCATCTGAAGTGTCCAAATCAGGTATGGGTGAGTGAGGCTCTGTGTATGATCCACCCTAGGGCACATATCCTCCCCATCTGTGAGTCTATAAAACTAGAAAATAAGGTATCTTCTCTCAAAATAAAATAGTGGAACAGACCTAGGATAATAGTTATATGCGTATACATTGTTTCAAAAGGGAGAAAATGGAAGGAAAGAAGAGCCGCCAGTCCCAAGACATTCTGAAACCAGGCTTGGCAAACATTAGGAATCAAGGCCTGGCTGGGAATATCATCTGTGTTTCCGGGTCCTGCCACAGGGCTCAAAACTCCCCTCTGAGTTCTATCTACTCTGCTATCTGAGTCATGAAAGGTAACACAGGTTTGGAGCTTGGTTTCCTCAGTGTAGAACTGGAGTTCTACACTCTTTAATTTCATACTCCGTCTCTTTAGATCCAAGGTTTTTCTACTAGAATAAGATTTTCAAGAACTTTGTGGGTCTCCCATGTATGTCAGAGATTCACTCCATTAGACAAAAAGTTGGTCCAGAGATTTTCCCCCCTAGATAAGCCCCCGTTTTTGGCTTTTGCTGAGATGGCTAAGGGACATCTTTTAGCTTCCTAGATGCTTGCTGGTTGTATTGAGACCTGCTTAGTCACACAGTGAATCTCTTCAGAGATTTCTGTGACTCAACACTGAGTTTTGATCTTGCTAAGGTATTACTAAAGATATGCAGCCACACACTCAGCTACTTCTTTAGAACATGCTTTCCTGACCATGAATCTCTTCATTTCAATGTCTTGCAATAAACAGGTTGAGAATTTCCCAAATCAAGCCTTGGGTCTTTTCTATTTAACAGTTCTTCCCTATATGGACCTCTTCCCCGTCACATTTTACTATAATCCGTAAGAAACAAGGCCACTTTCAACACTTGTTTAGAAATTTCCTCAGCTAACTGTCCATAAAGACTTCAAGGTGAATATTTGAAGCTTTATTTTTAATATTTAAAATCTGGAAAAAAACAAATGTCAATTAAATAAATGGATAAATTGTGGTATATACATACATACAACATAGATGATTCTCAAAACAACATGTTGTATGAAAAACAGCAAACAAAAATAAACTTTTGGGCCGGCCGAGTGGCGCGATGGTTAAGAACTGGTTTGGGATGCCAGAGAGCCCCGGTTCGGATCCCACATATGAGGGCTAGTTACACTGCCCTCCACAGCTAAGATGCTGAACAACAGGTCAACCTGGAGCTGGGCTGCAGAGAGTCGCCGGCGACGGCGTAGGCTGCAGCCCCTGTGGCAGTGGGTTGGCATGGGCTACCGTGTGTAGCCAGCAGCCAGCGTGAGCGGCCGTCCAGAAGCCGGTGACTGATCTGCCTCACCTGGGAAGAGCGCAATGATGGTGCCAACTTGGGCCAGTGAAGCAACGTCTTCCACAACTAGACTGAAGAACAAAAACGACAGCAACTTGTCTGTTCCCCTTCCCCCAATTCCCCAGCACTGTTCCCATCCCCCCAATTCCCCAATTTAAAAAAAATCTTTAAAAATAAATAAATAAATAAATAAACTTTTAAGGTTCCACTTAAATAAAATTCTAGAAAAGGCAAATTTACAGTGAGAATAAATCAATGATTGCCTAGGGATGGGAGGGGAAGTATTAGGAAGGGCATTGAAAGAGAGATTATGAAGGGACATGAGTTAACCCTGGGGGATATGTCCACATCATGGCTTGGGTGATTTCATGTGTATATAAATATTAAGGCTTACCAAATTGTGCACTTTAAGTATGTGTGGTATATTTTATGTTGACTACACCTCAATGAAACTATAAAAAATAATTCCACCTAAGTGTCTGGAAAAACTGGAAGACTGCACATCCATACAGTGACTCTGCCATCTTGCTCCAAATGCCTTGTGAAGAGAACCTCTTCCTCAGTAGCAAGAAAAACTGGCAAGAACAAAGGCTGTTTCCCAGCAAGCCAGCAGGAATTTTGGCTGGTCACAATATCTACATCACTGGACCACAATATCTCTATTCACAGTTCTAGGGTTACTGCCCATGCAGGAAAGACATCAGGTAAAGAGCTCAGAGGCACAGGAACAGAGGAAAACTTAACATTCTTTGCTCTGCCACTGACCTTGGTCATATGACAGCCCTGGAGATCCTGAGAGTTTTCATACAGCCATAGTGGCTGCAATGTTTATGGGTGTGTTTTGTTTGTTTGTTTGATGGGTGTTTTTACAATGGGCAAGGGGCCTGAGTGGCTCTCATCTGCTACAGTCTCTCCAATCCCAATTATCCACACCCAGTGTTTCTGTATTAATTTTGTTTCCTTCCTGGACACAGGTTTTACAAGCTTATGTACTAGATTCTGACCTTCAGGGCATGTGGCTCGTGTCTGGTCCTGAGGAACAGCTTCCCCTCAACAGTGCTGGGGAACATGAGATACATGCTGGAAACAAGACACTAATATAGTTCCCAAACACAATGTAGATTGTTACAACAGCCCCTTCAAGGTGACGTCTGGGCCCTCCACTGAAATCCAGACAAAATCGGTCCTACAAGGCCCTGAGTTCTCACTTAAGCAGCTTTTGTCAGCAATGGGAATTAATGCCAAAGCTGGACTAAGAATTGTTCTCTTACTAACGTGCTGTTCGTTCCATCTGAGGCACACCAACTTGGAGGCCCCCGCCCCCCCCCCGAGACAGTTTACCTCTTCAGTTTGGCAGAGCTTAACTGTTTTCAAACCACTCCAAACAGTAAACAGAACCAAAGGACCTCCATGATTAAAGGTAGCTTAAATAATGTCTTTATTATCACACAAACCAGAGCAACACAACGCAAGTAGTTCTTCAGGCTGTGTGACGGGAGGCTGGAAAAAAACTGTCATAACTATCACAGGAGATGAACAATGTTCACGGAGAAAGTTAACCTTTTTTGCTACCAGAACACAACTTAGGTCCTCTTGCTAAAGATGGGTCATGTCCACACCTCTACCAGTCAGTGGGGAGGGAACAAGGACCTCCATTTAACTCAGGTTTGTTATAATTCCCTCCAGGGATTGGAGAGTACAAAATTCTGTGTTCTCTGAGAATATTAAGGTAAGTAAGCTGGTACAGCTGAGATGGTTTCAGCCAGGCATTGACACAGAAATCTGGCAAGGAACCTGAGCAGATGTGAAAGTGCAATACAGCCCCTAAAAAGTTCCCATGTACCTGGCATTCATAAGGTGTCTCCCCAATGTTAATGTATATATGAAACTGAACGTCTAATTGATGTCTCTCTCTTAAAGGGTAATCAAAGAGCTCCTTTCCATGAGTCCTGTTGTATTGAAAGCACTCCTAAAGCCTTCCTGCAATGTGAATTTTCTGGTGCCGAATAAGGTGGGAGCTTAAGCTATAGGCTTTCCCACATTCATTGCACTCATATGGCCTTTCTCCAGTGTGAACTTTTTGGTGCCGAACAAGGTGAGAGGTTCTGATGAAATCTTTCCCACATTTGCTGCATACAAAAGGCCTTTCACCCGTGTGAACTCTCTGGTGTGCAATAAAGTCAGAGCTTCGACTAAAAAATTTCCCACATTCAATGCACTCAAAAGGCTTTGCCTCGGTGTGAATTCTCTGGTGTTTAATGAGGGTATATTTGTGGCCAAAGGATTTCCCACAGTCATTGCAAACGTAAGGATTTTCTCCAGTATGGATGCTCTCATGCTGAACAAGTGTGGATTTGTGTCTGAAGACTTTCCCACAATCGTTGCACTTATAAGGCCTCACTCCATTGTGAACTCTCTGGTGTACAATTAGATTGGAGTGATGGCTAAAGTATTTTCCACATTCGCCACACTTATAAGGCATTTCTCCAGTGTGAATTCTTTTGTGCTGAGTAAGATTGTCTTTGCGGCTAAAAGATTTCCCACACTCATTGCACTCGTAAGGCCTCTCTCCCGTGTGGATTCTCTGGTGCTGCACAAGTGTGGCTTTGCGGCTGAATGCCTTGCCACACTCACCACACTCATAAGGCTTTTCTCCAGTGTGGATTCTCTGGTGCTGGACAAGTGTGTCTTTGCGGTTAAAGGCCTTTCCACATTCGCTGCAGTTGTAATGCATCTGTCCAATGTGAAAGGCCTCCCCATTCTCAATGCTCCTTGTCTTCCTCTTGCTTCGGGTGGCCTTTTGCTGATGACTGCCCAAACCTGCCTGTTTCTGCTCCTCCTCACATGTGAAGGGCTTCTCTGACAAATGAGGTTCTTCACAAACTCTACAGTTTTTCACAAATGAGGTCTTATCTTTGTTCCTTCTTAAGGATTTCTCTGCATTGTAGTGCTTCTGGTGCTGGTGCAAGTTTATGCTGAATAAGAATTCTCTCCCACATGCCTCACATGTGTAAGGTTTCAGTTTATGGCGTGTTTCCTGGTGTTCATCCATGTGCAAAATATCTTGCAAGATGGGGTCACATATGTCACAAGGATGAGCCATTTGAGTCGATGAACCTGTCCTGGAGGTATGATTTCTATAAAAAAGCTCTGCTCAGACGGTACCTCTTCAACCTCTGCTCCACGCCAACAGCCTGAAGGCAGAAAAATGCTGTTGAAGTGCATGCTGACTTTGGTGGGAGGGGGCAAACCCATTACAAATGTATGTCTAGCACAGCCAGGATTGAGTCCATGGGTTACATGGTAGGACAACAGATTTGGGATCAGGTTAAAGAACAAGCTGCTATACATTACTAGGCTTCAAGGGTCATAGAATAGGGAAGGCCTTACAAGGGACAATGACACGAGAATGGAGTGTGTAGCTCAGGGAGAATAGGCAGGCAGGATTTCCAACTTACTCTTTGTAAATGACTTAAAAGGGTCTTGGCTATTGGTGACAAGTGAGTGCTACACGAAATCCATGTCCAAGCCCATAAAAATATAATTTAAAACCAGTTAATTTGTATTGAAGAACTATTTAAGGATATGTGTAGGTCTCTCAATACAGGTATGAGAGCACTCAGCCCTGGGTCAGAGGTCAGAATTGAAATGACAAGTATATAAAGTGTCCAGAAAATGGGGAGGAAAAAGTAGAAATAAAGTATAGCCTATATCCTGGGTGCCAAATAGTAGTGAGCACAGGACAGGTTTCTGGTGCTATTAGAACCCAGCCCTGAGGTCACCCTTTCCCTAAGCTCTCATTCACCAGGGCCTGACCAAGCCCCTCCTGCTGTAGCTAGAGTCATCATGACCTCTGTCAGGCACTCAGTGTTCCTTCTCCTGCTATAATTCAGCAACCACAGAGGAGCTGCAAGATACAAGTCAAAGGAAAGGCAGGGCAAGTGTGTGAGAAAGCTACCCACGGCAGCCCACCTACAAGAGATTAAAAGAAAACTAATTATTACAAAATGAACATCATAAATGTCTTGCAGGAACAACCCAATGGGTCCCACAAGCAGTGACCATGAGTACAATTCATAACACAGGTAGGTCGAAGGAAATATCAGTTAAAGGAAGCGGGCAGAATCTGGAGCACAGAGGTGTCATGAATGTGGATAAAGCCATGCAGGCAGGGAGAGGCCAAGCAGGGTAGTATCCACTGGGCCGGCCACAAGATTTCCGACCCTGAAACCCTAACTGGCAAGGGTTTGGGGCAGCAGAAGCACAGGGAGTGGAGAAGACAGTACACACAGCCGAGCTCTGGTACCCAGAGGAAATGTGTGAGAGAATGAAGGAAAACAGCAGTGCCCATGGTCCAGCTATGAAAAGGAAATGGCAACCTCTGGGGGAAAAAAAGAAGAGCAGGGCACAGCCTAAAAAACTAGAATACATGGAGCCTCACCCAGGATGGCTATAAAGCAAAGTGTAGAAAGCACTGCATTGTGATGAGTCTCTGTGCTTTATCAAGTAGTCCCAACTCCTCCCAGGAGAAAAACACAAACACATCCTCAAAAGTCACATGACACTGTGTTAAGCAGACAACCAAGCACAGGGACTCCTGGTCTGTTCACCACATATTCATTTTCCTCCCCAACTAAGACAAGATATCAGGCCTTTGTGTGATTGATGCATCATCTGTCCTCATCTTCCATTAATCACTTTGTCCAGCCCAGAACAACAGGCAGGTGGGCAGGTGGACAGACACTATACAGTCTGGGCCTGGCATGCAGGGCCCACTCTTCTCCTGCCAGCTAGTTCCCTGGGGTCTAGAGATTATGCCTCTCATACACAAATTTGAGCTCAGCATTCTCCCTAAAGACCTCAGTACCAGAGCCCTCAAATCATGAATTAAGATTCCATCTCCATGTACATGTCACTCTTCAGACCACACCTCCCTCTTATCTATGGACACTCACAACACAGGTACCTCCCATATGCAAATTTGCACACAGTCTCCAGAGAATGCTTGGTTAATGCATCCAGGATAGCAGCAGGCCCAGTTGATGGCCCCCACTGCCATGACTATCTCTAAATCCAGCTTTTAAATACCTACCTCCTTGAATCAACTTCAGCAATACAGAACCACATACAGATATTAGATAAACCCCGCCTTTTCCCACTTTGCTGTTGTACACTGAGAATGCTATATCCTCATCAGTCACAGGTTTAACACTAAACTCTCATTTAAAGCCCATACCCACTGGCCTTCTACTGAAAGTACAGTGACTCTGCCAACTGACCCAATTGTCCCTGAGCTAATTTACCAGCTTGACTGAAACTACCTGCATCCCACCGAAAGTCACCACAAAAGCCCGGGAAGCACTGAAAGGGAAATAAGCACCAGCTCTGGCCTCAGTTTCATCTCATCTCTATTACTGTATACTCCAGCATCCATTTCATGTCCACCGTCTCCCTGAAGACTTCACCTGCCAGATCTTATTCTTCTCCCCCTGCCCCAACCACAGACATTAACTTTCCTTTTCTTATCGCTCAAGTGCCTCCTACTCCCACTCTGCTGTGCCCATCCCCTTTCCAGACCCCCAAATGGCATTGCCACCATGACATAAAGATTCTCTCTCTAAATCTGAAACACAGCTCTACCCTAAACCACATACTGGCTGCCACCTTGTGGATGTCTCCAACTATAATCCCTTCTCTGAACTCCAAACTTGTGTGTCCAGCTGTCCACTTGATATCTTCACTCAGATGTCTTTGGAACATCGCAGACTCAATATGGTCAAAACCTAACTCCTAATATTACTCCCACCACCAACTTGTTCACTTGATCTCAGTTGAGGGTTTTTCGATCCTTACACTGTCTCAGGCCAAAAACTGTGGGGCCATCCCTGACTCCTCCTCATCTTTTTCTCACCCTTCACATCAGACAATCACTCCCTCCTCTGTTCCAAATCTTCCATGGCCCTCACCACTCTCGGAATATAAGTCCAGCCCCACAGGCTGTCATTCCAAAGTTTAATCCTGTCCCCTGCTCAGATCACACCAGACATAATGGAGACTTGAGGTTTCCTGAACACTCCCAGTGCAGCCTCAAGTGATGCATTTGCACAGGCTGGTGGGATACTGTCCCACACTTCATCCCACTTTCTGCTAGAAATAGAAACCCTTCCATATAATTTGAGAATAGAAGTCGGAGTATAAGACCTTTGGTAACACCGGAATCCCCAAACCCAATGGCAGGTAGAAGGTAAGAGTCCTGAGACACCATCATTCACCATACTTTGTTGCCAAGATAATAGGGTGAGGATGGGTTGAATGAGGAACTGCACTCTGCAGGGATCATAAGCGCTTCTACCACCACAGCAACCTGCCAGGAAGAGGGAACTGGGAGTGATAGATTACCACAGTGGGGTCTCATAGACTTAACTATTCTGCTAACTCCTGTACTGCCCTTTGGTGAGGATGATTTCAGGTTGATTAACATCATATACTCACACCATAGTGATGCCTCTTATCAGCAGTGTGACCATGAACAAAGATCTGTGTCTCAGTATCTTCATCTGTAAAGCGGCAATAATAGTGGTACCCACCTAAACAGGGCTGCTGTTTGTATCACACATGTTAGTACATGTCAAATACCTTTGAATTAGCTTTTACTATACATGAGCTTAACACTTTGCAAATGTTTTTTGTGCAAGTGAAGTGATAAAGGCAAGAACTTCAATCAATTATTAAGCACGGGTATAAATCTGAATCCTATCTATGTTTTTAACAGACCACCTATGTATACTTGTAAAGAGTACACTAGTCCTTTCACAAAACCAGCCTACCTGGTACATACTCACTCCTCTGAAGATGAGCCTGCTAGTGTAGTGGTGCCTCATTAGAGAAGCTCATCATCTCTCTTTACCTCTGGAACTGGGGAACTGATGTACCAGTACCTTGGATTGGGCTGAGGTTGCTCCACTAGCCTGGCTGACTTTTCTTCTTCTCCACAGGCAGTGCCTATGGGGGCAAGCTGAGTCTACAGCGTGGCAAACCTATAGCACCTCACACTTTGCTCTCCATCCCAGGTCAAGCTCTTAACACCCGCCAGCCCTCTCTTCCTGCTAACATCAGCCAGATTCCTTTCATCCCCATCCCCTCCTTTCTAAAGGGAATCTCAGGGATGTCCACCCTTTCTCCCCTGTCCTCCAATCTCTCTCACCTTAGGAGAGAGGTTTTATTTATTTATGTGTAAAATAACATCCTTAATGTTCTTCCCTAAATCTGATCCCCAGGCTTTCACCTGAGGCCTCATCCCTCAGAGGTCTCCAGCACAGCTCGCTGTGCAGTACCCCAGACCTGCATGTCCAAATAACCATGACACCTCCACTGTGAGGCACCTCAGATTTACCATGTCCAAAACCCAACTCCTGATTCCCCTGAAAGGTGCTCCCTGCTCCAACTTACACATTTCCATTTCTTCAAGATGTTCAGAGGGAGGGGAGAAATTTTTTTGGATAGGCGTTCATTCCCTATTTCCACTCACAGTCATATCTAATACAGCAACAAATTCTGTTGGTTCCATCTGTAAAATTTCTCCAGAATTTAGTGACTTCTCCACCCACAACACTTCCTGGCACTGCTCTGGTACAGCCACCACCACTACCACATTCCTGGAATCTGTGGCCTCCTCTCCGGCCTCCCTTACCCCATCCTCATCATCCCCACTCCACCTTCATCAATCCCACCCCACCCTTCCGTATTCCGAGTGAATACTGGGGTACTTTCAAAATACTTAATCAAATCCTGTGCCTCCACCGCTTCCAGAGTCCTCCTAATGAAGACACTCGCCTCACATTCACTACAGGCATGGCTAGTACTCACACTCCGCTCCCTGCAGATAGAAAGACCCCACCTCCCCGAACGCTCCCGGCCAATCCCACCTCACCTGGCCTTTGCTCTCCCACGTCCCATCACACTGGCTATTGGAAATGGGGGCTCCACCCACAAACGCACTGAAGCCTGGGCTGTACTGACGGTGCTAGATTCGGAGGTGAGGGTCGGGCCGCGTCAAGGTGCGGGGAAGACAGCACCTACCTACACTGGGCCCATCCCCGCGGCCGCCGCCATCACAGTCTGGACCGTGCGGAGCCGTGTGGATCCCAGGTCCAGACCCAGGTCTTCTCGGGCGCTGCCACCGCCGCGTCTCTTTGCAGTGGGGACGAGACTCCTCCCTCGCCTTCCCGCTTCCGTCACCTCACAACCAAACCACAGCTCACACGCCTCTGCTCCCAGGGTCCTACCAAAAGCCGACAAGATGTCCGCCGTGAGGAAGACGCCGGAAGACACGCTCAGGCGTCCTCCGCACGTACGGAAACGCCCTCAGCAGTGCCTCCACCGCGCAGCGCAGAGGTTTCTGGGTAATGTAGTTCTTTCTCCCTGGGCTGTAGCCCGGCACCGTCACCCTCGCGCCCGGGGTGGATGCCTGTAAGTGCTGCAGAGGGCGATGGGAAATGGTGCCTGAGGCTTTAAGGATTTAGCGAGGCTTGGCGCCTCTTTGAAGAGTCCGCACCAGCTTCTGTGCAGTGTATCCTGGGGGGGGGGGGGGGGGGGGGAGGAAGAAATGTTTAAAGACATGTTCTTTCAGATATTCCCCAAAGCTACAAAAGCAAATGGACGTGCCACATAAAGTGTCACTGAGTTCACTCATAGCCCACTCCTATTTCCTTGTTTTTTAGATAAGTGTACATGGAAGCTTTAAGTCAGTTTTGTTAGCTTCACTTGGGTCAGGGGTAACAGAATTGTTCCCAGGCAGGACTGCGTAGTTTAGTCGAAGAAATGAGGTTGGGGGCGCCCTGAAACAAGTGACTAACTGGAGTACTTCCTCTTGTTAACCTAAAAATAAAAGGCCTTTCAAATTGAGGTTACAAGCATTTATTTGAGATCAATAAGAATAGCTACTTGGGGGCCGGCTAAGTGACACGCTGGTTAAGTTGGCTTGGGAGCACCAGCTCTGAGCATCAGGGCCCTGGTTCAGATCCCACATGAGGGCAAGTGACACTGCGCCCTCTACAGCTAAGATGGTGAACAACAGCTCTACCTGGAGCTGGGCTGCGTGAGTCACTGGTGATGGAGAAGGCTGCAGTGGGACATATACTTATGCAGTGGGCTGCCATAAGCTACTGTGAGTGGCTAGCAGCTGGCATGAGTGGCCAGCAGCCAACATGAGCTTTCATGGACTGCCATGAGTGGCTGGCCAATGGCCAGCGACCAATTTGCCTCAGCTGGGAAGAGCACAATGATCACAATACCAACATGGGCCAGTGAAGCAACGTCCTCCACAACTAGACTGAAGAACAAAAGGTCAGCAACTTGTCTGTTCCCCTCCCCCAATTCCCCAATAAATCTTAAATTAAAAAAAAAGAATAGCTACTTGGGAGTCACTGATTCAGGCAGAAGACCAAATAGTGTTCTGATTAGGGGTATATATGGAACAGGGAAGGGGAACAGTTACATCAATGGAAGGAAGGCATTGTTATTGGTGCAGATAACATAACATAGTGATGTTAATTCTATACAATGTTTTTAATTTTCAGTGCAGTCAGTCATCATCAGTCTAATAATCATAACATCTGCTTTCTTGTTATCTTTGCAAGCAGTTCTTTGGGATACATTGCTTTAAGCCCAGTCCAGAGGTTACTTTGCCATTTTAACATTTTAGAGGTTTGATGCAATAAGACAAGTAAGGCAGTTCCTCTGAAATGGAAGCTCTGGTTCCATTTTAAAGTGGATCTATTTATTATTTTCTTGACACTCTGGTTCCTCAGAAATTATTCCTGACAGGGCCATAGGGAGTAAGAGAGAGAAGGGATTACTGTGACACTTTGAAACAGAAGGTAAAGGAAGGTGCCTTTTCCTGCCTGTATAGTCACAGATGGTGTCCAACCCAGAGACCATCACTCTTTAATCCAAAATATATTTCTCGGCCCAATAACTGAAACATATTTAATTATTTTTAGAAATATGCCACCTATCTGAAAAGAACCATTATAATTGCTCTTGTGTGCCAGGACAGTGGATGACATAGTCCTAGTAGCAGCAAATGTGCAAAGGAGACATCTGAACACAGAAATAAAGATTTGGAACACCATGATCTTTGTTCTTTGCGAGAAATTGATTCTCATTTCACTTGCAATTAAAGTGTCTAAGTTGTGAGTTGAGATTATGGTAAACCAAAAAAAAATTTTTTTTAAAAAAGGAGGAAGAGAGGAAAGGGAGGAGGAGGAGGAGGAGAAAAATGAAGACAAACGTTTGTGAATTGTTTAACTTACTGGAAGTTATTAACAATAATTATGTAGTTATTCACAGATATATGCAGGAATGGCTCTGGGGATCATATCTGTAACAGGTGAAAACTTAAAATGTCAGCAAACTTTGAGCTGGGGACACTGAAATCTGAGAAGTAAAAGAATGGAGTTGAGGGCCGGCCAAGTGGCGTGTTGGTTAAGAGCTGGCTTAGGACGCCAGCTCTGAGCAGCAGGGCCCCAGTTCAGATCCCACATGAGGGCTAGTGACACTGCCCTCTATAGCTAAGATGGTGAACAACAGCTCAACCTGGAGCTGGGCTGCCGTGAGTCACCGGCGACGGCATAAGCTGCAGTGAGGCTGCAGTGGGCTCGCCATAAGTTACTGTGTGTGGCCGGCAGCCAGTGTGAGTGGCCAGCAGCTGGTGTGAGCTGCCAAAAGCCACCGTGAGTGGCCATCCAGAGGCCAGCGACCGATTTGCCTCACCCAGGAAGAGTGCAATGATGGTGCCAACATGGGCCAGTGAAGCAACATCCTCTACAACTAGACTGAAGAACAAAAGGACAGCAACTTGTCTGTTCCCCTTCCCCTGATTCCCCAGCACTGTTCCCCTCCCCCAATTCCCCAATAAAATCTTAAAAAAAAAAAAAGAATGGAGTTGAGCACTTGTCTGTGTTGGAACCTTAAGTGCATGGAACAAATCTGAAAACAAGAGACAAAGACCCCAGCCATCAAAGAGCTTATATTGTATTCACGAAAGACTAAGGAAGAGATGAGAAAAAAACAAATGATTATATAGAATGTTAGAATGTGGTAGGCACAATGGAAAAGAGAGAAGGGCACCAAGAAATGGGGAGATGAAATATAATATACAGCCAATGGAGGCTGATTTGTGCCTGAGTTTTAATTTATGAAGGTGACTAAGTGGCAACACAGATAGATCAATGCTATTGAAAGAAAAGTGTAATATTACTTATAGTTCCCATAGAAATGAGAAGTATAGCATACCACACAAAGCCACAGAAGGAATACCAGGTTTTGGTTAGGAGGCAGCAGCACAGCACGAGCCAGGGGAAAGCCTAGGCCAGAGCCTTTATTGTGTTTTCTGTGGGAAAGGCAAAACAGAGCTGGGGAAACAGCTGAAGACTGGCAAGTTAGAACAATTTCAGTGGACTTTGAGTTAATAGGGGTGGTTTCTAGTTGCCAGGTACTTGGCCCTGGGATGATTTAGGACACACAATTTTGTTCAGGAAGCATTCCTAGATAATGGAGCCCCATTCAAGGTAAACCACTGAGTGTAAAACTATGAATCCATGAAAGATATTAACATAAATTAAATTCCTTAAAGAAAATATGTGGATTTTCAATTGTAGATGATAATAGGCAAATGAAAAAACAGCTCTTTCTAAGAGACACAATGTTGCTCTCGAGTTTATTAGAAGCCAAATTTATTTATTTTATCATGATTTGTCATTCATAACAACCATGTTGCCTAAATATGGACTAAAATGATATTTAGATAATTAGGTACAGGTTTTATGTTTGTATTAACTAATCTGTATTTTACTTGAGTCACTTTCAAAATATAACAAAATTAATTTTTCAATGTAATTTTAGTTACATACCAGGTCTGACAATTAAGATTGCAAACTCATCCTAGAAAATGGCTACATACCTCATTGCAATCACCTTAGAAATCCTCCCTTTGGGAAGCTATGCACCAACGCTAGTGCCTAGTCCACCCTTCAAAGTAATTTGGGAACTCTTTCTGGAATGGCCATCAGAGCTGTCATCATATTACCCTTAATGTCCTGAATGTCATCAAAATGTCTTCCTTTCGATATTTCCTTTGTCTTCATGTAAAGAAAGAAGCCACTGGGGGCCAGATCAGGTGAGTAGGAAGGGTGTTCCAATACAGTTATTTGTTTACTGGCTAAAAACCCCTCACAGACAGTGCCATGTGAGCTAGTACATTGTCATGATGAAAGAGCCGTGAATTGTTGGCAGAAAGTACAGGTTATGGTCATCTATTATTTTTTTTGAAGATTTTTATTGGGGAATTGGGGGGATGGGAACAGTGCTGGGGAATTGGGGGAGGGGAACAGACAAGTTGCTGTCGTTTTGTTCTTCAATTTAGTTGTGGAGGACGTTGCTTCACTGGCCCAAGTTGGCACCATCATTGCGCTCTTCCTGGGTGAGGCAGATCAGTCGCCGGCTTCTGGACGGCTACTCACTGTGGCTGCTAGCCACTCACGCTGGCTGTTGGCCACTCACGCTGGCTGCTGGCTACATACGGTAGCTCATGGCAACCCACTACCACAGGGGCTGCAGCCTACACTGTCCCAGCGACTCATGGCAGCCCAGCTCCAGGTTGAGCTATTGTTCAGCATCTTAGCTGTGGGGGGCAGTGTCACTGGCCCTCATATGTGGGATCTGAACCGGGGCCCTCTGGCATCCCAAGCCAGTTCTTAACCATCACACCACTCGGCCGGCCCATGGTCATCTAATTTTTTCACGCAGCCTTTTCAGCACTTCCAAATAGTAAACTTTAACTGCTTGTCTAGTTGGTACAAATTCATAATGAATAATCCCTCTGATATCAAAAAAGGTTAGCAACATCGTTTTGACTCTTGATTTGGACTGACAGAACTTTTTGGTCATGGAGAACTGGCTGACTTTCATTGTGCACTTTAATGCTTTGTTTCATGGTCATATTGGTAGACTCATGTTTCATCACTACTGATAACATGGCCCAAAACATCGTCTTGCCTCTCCAAAAGGTCTTGTCCAACTTTGACTCTCCTTTGCTTTTGTTCATCGGTGAGCTCCTTCGGTACCATTTTTGCACACACCTTCCTCATGCCAAGATTTTCAGTTAAGATTTTCCTGTTTCTCTATTGATGTTTACTTGGTCTGCTATGCTTCTCACAGTCAGCCCAGAATTTTGACGCACAATTCAAATAGTTTTTGCAATGTTTTCATCAGTTCTGCTAATTACTGGCTGCCCTGACCTCTCCTCATCAGTGACATGTTCTCTCC